TATATATATATATATATATATATATATATATGTTTTTAAAAAAATGTTTTCCCTACATCTATTCAACCTCCAGTTGGGATTTAAATGAGGTAGTGGTTAGTCTTGTTGTTGTTGTTGTTTACTTATCTTCTTCGGATGAAAAAAATGATTCTTCTCGTTTTATTCATTTATCTAAAATGAATAAAATCACTTCTTACCCCCTTTTGAAACATTAAATTTGAAGAAAATAATATCGCCGTCCTGAACTTCATAATTACGTCCCTCTTGATGCTGTTTACCAGCTTCACGACATACAGTCTCGCTTTCAAGCTTGTCGTAGTCTTCCCAGTGAATCACTTCAGCACAAATAAATCCCTTCTCCATGTCGGTGTGTATTTTACCAGCTGCTTGAGGTGCCTTCGTGCCACGCTGAATCGTCCAACACTTAACCTCGTCTGCCCCTGCAGTAAAGTAGTGGATCAAATTAATAGCATGGTAAGAGGTGGTAACAACTTTGTTCACCTGAGACTTTGTTTTATTCGTCTTGCAGTACTCTTCTACTTCCTCTGGAGACATGTCAACAAACTTGGACTCCATCTCAGCTGAAATCGGGATAAGTGGTTCACCAGTATGCTGATCTATCCACTCCTTTAGCTTAGCAAGCCATTTGCCACGTTGCCGAATAAAACTCTTTTCGGACATGTTGGCTAAAAAAATAGCTGGTTTTGCTGTCAAAAGTTGTAGAGTGTTGAGATAATCAATTTCCTTACCATTCCAATGGCAACACCGAACTTGTTCACCATTTTCAAGATGTTCTTTTACTTTCAAGAGAATCTCTAAATCCGCCTTCTTGCTTTTATCAATCCCACGATTCACTATGGGTGTTATCTTGTCAATTAATCCATTGACAACCTGTAAGTCCTTCAAAACCAACTCCGAAAAAATAATCTCCAGGTCGCGAATAGGATCCAAATCACCTTCCACGTGAGTAACCTCAACTTCCTCAAAGATGCGAATCATGTGAATAATTCCATCACATTCATTGATGTGGGACAGAAAAGCGTTACCAAGCCCTTCACCATTGCTGGCTCCACGTACCAAACCTGCAATGTCCCGGACGTGAATTTGCGCAGGAACAATAGATGCAGGCTTATTTATTTTCACCAATTTGTCAAACCGGTCGTCAGGAATATTAATATCTGCGGTGTTTGGATCAATGGTACAGAATGGACGGTTTTCTGCAGGAACACCTTTCTTGGACAGAACGTTGAAAAATGTGGACTTACCAACGTTAGGAAGTCCAACAATACCAACCTTCAAGTTGCTCCCAGGTCGGCCCAACAAAACTATGCCATTTTGTTGCGGCTGATCAACCTTCTTCTTGGGAGGCATAATATTCCTTTTAAACCAAGTGTGTTGTTGTTTGTTGTTGTTGTTTTTTTTTTTCGCTACCATCAGATTATCAAATCAGAAATATATATAGACGAATATGAAGGGAAAAAAACCCAATATTAGCTTCCAATTATTATTATTATTTGTATACATGCTTATTTATTTGTATTTATTTACATTTCTTTTAAGAAAAAGGGCAAACTTCAAACTCATTCATTGGTAATTCAAAGTAAAAAGTGAGCATTTGACATTTCATCAGCGGCTTCCCCCACTTCAGGTGACACAGTGCTGCTGGCATCACCAGGAACGGAATTTTTCACACCCGACTCCCGAACTAAATGATAACTACAGGCGCAACGGTTGCTTTGTACCATTTTTTTCAATTCATTCAATTCCTGTTCCTTACTGGAAATGAGCACCTCATTTTCCCGAAGAGCATCCGTCAAAACAGTATTGATGTCCTCTGTGTCACATACCAAAATTTCAGTGCCAGACGTTGAAAGGGCATTTTTGCACTCCGTTACCGAATTGGAGCTCCTTAAATATCCCCTTATCTCATCATTGCTTTCCCTCAATTTCTTCACATGCCTTTCCATAGCCTCTATTTCGTCAAGAATAAACTCCAGCTGAGGTCTACTTGCATCGATACTAACTACTTGTCGGCCTTGACTAGAAGCGGTGCAACCTCTAAGCATGTACACACCCGGGAGAATCATTTCACCCCAATCATTTCTACCTTGCGCACACATATCTTTTAATGTTTGTAAAAACAAATTAAAAATGGATAACTAATATCCCAAAATAGAAGAAAAAATGGCTGCAGCAACTTCATAGAAAGCAAACATTTTATTATTATTATTATTGTTATTATTATTATTATTATTACTATTATTATTATATGTTATTATATGTTATTTCAAAGAATTTATTTATTTATTTATTGGGGGAGAAAATTAAAGTCGTAGAAAACACAATTTGCTATAATAGGATTTCAAATTGACTCTTTTACACGAAACAACAATGACGCATTATCGACTGCTGTCCATATTAATTCCGCAAACCGGCAAATTCCCTCAGTATTCCCTTTTTCAAATATGTTGGCAGCATGCGCAAGAGCTGCTGAGTCACTTTTTTTTCTATTGGGCTGACAACAAGCAGAGACAGAAGAAACTGCGTCAATCGCCTTCTTGCTCAGATCCAAGTAGATTGTGTGAGAAAAAACATCCGGTAGAACCCCGGTATTTGAGGTGTGGGAAAGCAGTGTAAATCGTAAAACATCGACAATCTCTCGATGATATTTGTTTTTATCACAATGAAGCAGATAACAATGATATAAATATTCAGCAAAAAAAGTTCCATACACACCAGTGGAATCCAGATCCTGCCCTGCAAAGCCACGGAGAATGGCGCAGGCAACATGAGACGCATGCTCACAATCCCTTATGATGGCATTCACAGCAAACGGATTCCTGATGGGAACTACTACAGTTGCAATATTCCCATTTCCATAAATCCAAATGCGTCCATCGTTCAAGGTAACAACTTTCTCTACTTCTCCAACGTGCATGGATACGTTCCCCGTCTCCGCGGACTTCATCCACACAACAAACTCACACAAACTATGAAAGGGTATAGCACCTGTTACAGCTTGTACAACACTGCTATGAGTCAATGACAGACGCTCCAGGGGCACGATGTCCATTTCAAATAAAGTTTCTTTCAAAGTCTGACAAAGTATCCTCTGCGAGGCAAGAAAAGAAATGTGCAGAGATCGTAGCAAATCGACAAATGACTCCAACTCACTGTCCTCGATCAAAAGTGAACATGAAAAAAGTATAATACTGCCTCTTCGATCATGAGAATCGAGCAATAAAAGCTGTGCCTCCAAAGACAAGGAGGCAGGCAACAATATGGCATGGTCAAAAACCAATCTGGCATACGGAAATTCTCCAGAATAAGCAGAGACACCATAGACCAAATCACTGTGTCCAATACTCGGGACAAAGAAAAGCTTTTTTCCTTGAAGAGCCATCACCACAAAAAGTTGTGCAAAATCCGAACAACACCTTTCATCCAAGGTCTGAGTTGTCTTTAATATTGACTCTACAAGCTGCATCGTGCTCCTCCTTTCCAAAGGAGACCTAAACTGAGGGAAATTTCCGTAATTAGTAACGCACATGATCCATTGTTTTATCTCTGCCACAGCTTGCAATATATTTCTCTGGAGAAAAAAGGACGTTGCTCGTCGTTTAAAAAATTGCGTAATGTTGAAAAAACCCTACACGCTAACAAGGAACCCAAAATACCCAATGGATCGTCAATGCTGAAACCTTTTACTGTCCCACTAACTAGAAGGGAAAAGCTGGCAACTCGCATATCTCTTGCTGTCGGCGACTCCATACTCAGTAAAGAGTTTCTAATCAAGTTAATCACTTCAGTTGACCTAGTACACAAAAGCCCAGAAACATTCCAACACAGCATTCTTCTTTTTCGGCACAAGCGCTCGTAGCATTGCTCAATCAATAGAATCAATTCTTCGCAGTCCATGATTTGAAATCGTGCTCATTTCCCTTTTACATTCCCGCACCGTATCCTTGTTATGTGAGATCAAATTCGTATATACATATATATACAAAGAAAACAAAATTCTGGTTATATATGTATATGCGCCACTTTTCCTTCTTCCTACCAAAGTCAGAGAAGGCACCGAAACGGCAAAGATGAAACCAAACAAACAAATCGATCTCGGTATTAAAAACTGCTTAAAACAACAACAGTTCAACTTTAAAAGTAAACACAGCAAAAAGCAAAAAAAAAAGACTCATGATCCAATAACAGAGACAACAAGACCACACCCAGCAAACAGCACAGAACCCACATGCACACCACCTCACCAACCCACCCGCACCCAGCCAGATCCAAAACCGCCAGATGTGCCAACGCGCACCAACCCCACACAACCAACACCCTTTCCCAAGCGCTCCAAACACCAGAACAGACACCCCGCCATAGCGCAAAAAGAAAAAAAACGAACGACACCCTCCCCACCCCAGATCAACATTAACAGACGGCACGCCACCGGCCCCTGCCTCCAAGCTATCGCCGCCCCCAAAAAACTAATAAACCGCCGCCACCGAACACGGCGAACACGCGGCCGAAGCCGGCGGCGCCGAGCGCGACGATCGCCCCCGACGCCGCCGGCGGTTCCGGCAGGGGCGCGGCCTCCGCCCGCGGACCCACCGGCCCCCCAGCCTTGGTTGGAGCGCGCCAGGCGAAAAAACGCCAAC